CTGCAGCTGGGTCGACAGAAATCGGTATTCGTCTGCTCGGCTCCAGGGCGACATCCAGAACACACGGTGCTGGCGCCGCCAATAAATTCTTCTGACCGCTGTTGGCAGTAGATACATCCGCAAACAGATTTTCATCATGGCGACCGAGAGAACTCGCCTCCGACGGTTTGTAGATACCGAAACTAACACTCGGATCTTCCAGTGTGCACAGTTCCTCCTCAAAGCCATCATCCTCTTCGAAACCGTCATCATCGCCCTCAATGTCAAAGTCCTCAGGAAGGGGTGAATCCAGGTTCAGATCAGTCATAGGTCCACCCCAGGAGGCCTGTCGTGGAGGTGGGTTAGTCGGCGAGGTAAATCCGCTGCGGGGGCTGGGCATTTTAGAGGACTGCACAGAACGTGGGCCGGCGTTACCAGGCCAGGTAGCATCAACAACCTGGAAAACGAGGGGAGGGAGAAGGATTGCATACATATATCAAGGCTGGTTAAGAAAGATGACAGAGGTCAAAAATGCAAGTGGTACTATAGTGTGATAGGTACTTGTCAAAAAGCAGAATCGTCTGCATGGCGAAAATAAACTAAAAACAAACAGACACTACGTTGTTAAATACGCGTAGGATGGCTACGAAGTGGTATTCATCTCCTTTCAAAACACGCCAGCAGCGTTCATCCTAGTGTTCCTAAAGTAACTGCTGCAGAACTCTGCGATTGTTCTTCAAAATCGGAAACTTTACGTCTAATCAAGTCCCTTCGATTTGCTGGGCGTGCGCACATGTATTCAAAACGACTTAATTTTCCTTGTAAATAAAGGCCTTATGATCGCACCCAGCCTCAGTAAGTGGCCGATAAGCTGGCCATTCGTCAGAATGTATTGTTGAATCTGCTTCTTCTTCGTGTTACAATGAGATGGATCAACGCCGCTACATCTCGCTTGTGTGTCGGAACACTGACACAATCCAAAAATCCGTTGACCATCCATTAGAGACTAGAGTTTCCGTATCGCTATGGTTTTCTTCGAAATATACATTTCTACCTTAAAGACGGCCACGATTGTGCTTATGGCGACCTACAAATCTGACCTCGTCGAGGTGTATTGGGCTTTCCGGTGTTTCATTCAGCTTTACTTTTCTAGCAACAGATAACATTTCCAAAAGGAGACTTCTCGGCAGTAACGGAACCAATCAATCACAGTATTTCCGGTCTAACAGTAAGTTTTAGCACTTTTTCGAAATACAGTCGGTTGGTTCAGAGGGGTAAACAAGCTCTAAAACGTCACAAACCTTCAAATTCCCATGGAGTCTTCCGTCCAAATCGCAATAATGGAAGAATTTGTTCCTCCTTCTTACTGATCGAACAGACTGGTAACCCCCCTTTCTTCTGCACTTCCATACCGGAACATTCTATCCATGAAACTTCTTGATTATGACCATCACCGCCCGTTGGCACTTGCAGCAAAATTCTTACTCTACTCACAGACAATGTCAGAGGATAGATTGCGACACCGGTTTTTCGTTGTGCACCACACACTTCAATATAAAATAATCATAACATTTTGAAGGTTAGCTGAAGTAGGCACAAAAATAAAGCCAGGAATCAGGCTATAACAGCAATAAACACAATCTAGAGGACAACGAACTCAGCTTACCGGTTTCCCGTACTCCGAAGCCGAACCGCATTCGGAGGGTGTTGCCGAGGGGTTGAGCGAGAGTTGTAGGGTAGAAGAAAGAGACTTGCTGCGTAGCGAGGCCT